AAACAATAACAATGTTCAAGTAAATAAAGACAAAAACTTTGGCACCTAAACAGCAGCTCTTATAAATACAAACTATACAATTTCATATCTCTTTAACAAATTACTTTTTATCATTCTTTTAAACAAATTAATTGAACCAGCATTTTTACAATCACTATCCAATTTATTACATAATCGTATTCCTTGGACCGAAGTACATCTGTCCTTTAAATTTGTTCGAATTTTAAGTTTTACAAACATTTCCAATCCCTTGAGATTATAACTTTCTCTCTTAACAATATTTGATTGGAAGTTTAAAGGCAATACGTTTTTATGAGCCTTATACATAACCTGTAAAATATTATAATCAACCAACTCATAAAACTTTAATAATTTCAACTGATAAAATATTTGATGGGTGACTGTAATGTTTTCTGGTGATAATTCTTACAGCTCTTCTGCAAAATAAAGATGGGATTTGTTTTACATGCTTTACCCCAGGTTTCAATACAATATATCAAGTGTGGAACAATTATTGCATTATATAATRTAAACAGAGCTTTATCATTAAATAAGTTCTTTACTTTGTACAATACTGCAATGGATTTGGCTATTTTTGTTCTTAAATGATTTATGTGAGGTCTCCATGTCAGCTTCTCATCTATGATGACACCCAGAAACTTCACTTCACTGACTCTACAGATCTCAATACCATCGATTCCAAATGAAATATAAACATATACTTATTATACTAAGGTCAATCAACTTTTAGTCTTGTGTTAAGAAAGTACAAAGAGGCTGTAAAAATTTATYAACAACAGACCTCTGATACCCTGAATCAAACATCACAAATACTGGACATGTGGACAGAAAATCTTACTGAGATAAACATGTGACTCTCTCTGACAGTGCAAAACCAACGAAGGGAGAAAATCCTCTCCTGAGGTCAGACATTATACCAAAAAAATACTTAAATCATTCAGATTGGTGAGAAATAACTCCTAATATACAACTTGCTTTATGTGGGAGAGGGCTGGCAGAAACTCAGCATTCTGAAACACTCAACATCAGTATTAGTAAAACCTACAGGGTAAAATAATTTAGCATCTAATAAAACCCTCCAAAGTCCTGTTATGTTGACTCACATGTGGTTGAAGCGGCTGATTTACWCTGAGGTTCACTGCAGAGTTCCTTTTAAACACTGACTCTCTTCAGTCTGAGCATTTACTTACCCTCAGTCTGCGATGAAGAGTTTTAATCTCTTTTTCCATGTCGTGCTTCTGATCTTGCAGCTTTTTCACAGAATCTGAAATATAAAAGAAATACACAACAAAAAATGCAGGTTGCTGACAAAAGACAACAATAAAACAGAATCAATGGGTCACGTGGTGACGTCAGGATGTCTCACATAGTTAACAGGGGCCGACATCCATTGGATTAGCTTTACTTTTTTAATAATTTAAAATCGATTTTGGGACATTTTAAATCAGTTCTGAATCTTTATAAATGAGAATCATGATTCTGATGTGAATCAGTTTTTTGGTGCACCACTAATCAATACTGTATTTAAAGTCTTTAGAAGAATTTAGTTCTTTTAGGACATAAAATATCTGTTACCCATTAGGTTTCTTAAATTACATAAATACTAGATGAACAAAAAGACAGTTTTTAACAGACACCAAAACTTAATGAAGGTGCTGCAGAACGTAAAAGAAATAAATCWAATTCTTGATTTAATTGCTTGCATTAATTAGATGCCGTTAATGAGCGACAATGAGTTGAGGTTATTGCAGTCACCAAGTCTTTCTCACTGTTTWGTTTGTACTGGTTCAGTTTATTACAGTAAAGAGGCAAATGTTTATATGTAGCTCTGTGTGTTTTCACTGAACAGTTCCATGATGTGGGCGGAGCCTCTTCTTAAAGACCGTATCTCACAGAGATGTGACGGTTTCAGACTAGTTGGCAAWCCAAAATGTTTCTGTTTGAGTACGKTCTGAGTAATCAGCAGTTGGTAAAGCAGCAGTGTTGCTCCTATGGCAGCRCAGCAGCTTAGTGGTTAGAAATGTTGCCTCGCAGCAAGAAKGTCCTGGGTTCGGGCCCCTGGTTGTGCCTAGGGACTTGTATGTGTGTGTAGTTTGCATGTTGTCCTCATGTTTGTGTTTGTTTTTACAGAGTACTCTGGTTCCCTCCCACAGCCCAAACACATGCATGTTTAGGCTGCTTTCAGTCCCTCTAAAGGCCGTGCAGCACGAGGTGTTTGAGGTTTGAGGACCACTGCTTTAGACAGCGGTTTGTGTTTTTTAACAGTGATCTCTAGACCAGGGTTTCTGGTGCAAATTAAAATATATTTCTGCAATATAAAATATATTTCAATATAATATAACTGCAATATAAAATATATTTCTGCAACTGCATTTGATAATGTTTTGAACTTTTAAAATATTGCATGATAAAAACAGAAGCTGCACTTCATATTAGTGAAAAACTTTGGCATTTTTTGATGGGTTACCTTCGTTTTTGCTTCTACTTTTAATTTAAAATRAGTTTCCATTCTCGGCAGGTTTCTAAGGTTCTTCTTCTACATATTTAAAAAGTTGTTAAAACATCTGAGTGGCGCACTACTGTGGTGAGAAAGTGTATTGCACCTTATTCAAAAACAATGCGGTCCCACGGCCCTCTGCGGCCCAAAGTTAAAAACTGTTGTTCTTTTGAGGCCCTCAAGGTGGCGCTCGCGGCTCACAGGTTAAGAATCTCTGCTCTAGATGATCACTGCCYACCTGCACCGTTTGACACAGGTGTAAAGACGTAAAACTAAAAGTCTGGACATTACTTCACGCTTGCACTAACTTGTGTTTCCGTGCTCACTTACTCTCAAGGTCTGAGATGATGAGGTTGTCATGGAGTTTAAGAGCTCGGTGCTGCTCCACTTCATCCTCCAGCTCAAAGATGGTTTCCTTCATGTCTGCGATCTCAGTGTCTTTCTCCTGCAGCTCCAATGTCTGCTTTTCCAGAGCGCGCTCCTGCTCCGCGATCCTCTGCTGCGCCTGGTCCTGGAAGTCTCTGTACTCCCTGTTCAGCTGCAGAGCACAGAACCAAACATGTCCTTCATTAAAACCTTTACTATAGCTTCAGAACATGATAAGTTAACTTCCAGCCTTCAGGTTGTACCTTGCTGAAGGTCTCCTGCAGCTGGTTAAGCTCTATATGCACTTGTTCTAGCTCCTCCTGCAGTTTTGCAGCTTTGGCTTCAGCCTCCTCCTTGCCCAGCCGCACCCCCTCCAGCAGCTGGCAGATGTCATTCTTGTCTCCCGCGGTGTGAAGAGAGTACAGCTCGGCCACCCTCTGCCTCTCCTGGTCCAGCTGGGCTCTGCAGCGGTTCAGCTCGGCCTGGTCGCTGCTCACCGCCACCTTGTACTCCTCCAGCGCAGCCGCCAAGGCGGCACGGTCCTGTCTCTCCGACTCCAGGATGCGCTCCATCTGGTGGTTCCTCTCCTTCAGAGCTCCGATCATCTCTTGGGCTTCGGCRTTGTCCTGCTCGGCCATCTTCAGCGTGTTGGACAGGTGCTGCTGCACGCCCAGCAGCTGCTCCCTCTCAAAGCGAGCGTTATCTGCCAGGTCTGCGTAACGCTGCTCCAGCTCCAGATATCGACCGCTTTTGATGTCCTCTTCCAGGACATAGGATATATGATGTTCTTCCAGCAAGGAGCGCAAGTACTCAATCTGTCGGCCGTACAGCTCCAGCTTGTCGCTCTGCTGGCACAAGGAGTCCATGAGGATGACCTTCTCYTCGCCAAGCCGCTCGTTCTCTCCATTCAGCTCTTGGGTGATCTGCTGCAGGTCTGCCAGCTCCTGCAGCGTGGCCTGAAGCTCCTCAGCCGTGCTGTGCTGGTTTTCCTCCATCTGGTGGATGCGCTCCGTCAGACAAGCCACYGACACCTCGCTGGCATTGCCGCCGCTGCCCCTCCTGGAGCGCTCGGTGCTCGGAGCACACTCCGACTCAGAGGAGGAGGAAGCTCCCGAGGGGGCATCCAGGGCGTCATCACTAGAGGTGACGGCTTGGTAGACCTCGCTGGATTCACTGTCCAGGTTGTCTGCCGAGCCGCCGTGCTGGTGTCCTGTGAGCAGATCCTCTAGAGAGCCGGGGGCGGAGCCTTCTACCGATGATGTCAGCGTACCTGTGCAGCCACCGTCGCTGTGTGCGCTGCTGGTTGCCAGGTCTGGGCTCAGAGAAGGGTAGCTGAACAGCTTGTCTGATCCRTCCAGCCTCTGCTCCAGAGAGAAGCCCAGAGCGTTGAGCCGGTCTTTCAGCATGCGRTTCTCACTCTTGAGCAGGTTGAGCTCCTCTCTGATGGCCTGGTTCTGTTCTTGTAGGAGAATCAGGGTGGACTCTACATCAGCTGCTGTGATGGCTGAAACCTGGGGCTTCTCCACCTCTTCAACGTCTTCCTGCGAGGATGCGTCTTTACCCTCGAGGCCGAGCTGGGCCCTCATGTCCCTCAGCTCACTGCGGAGGTGAAGGATCTCCACATCTTTGCTCTTTGCCAAACCAAGCAAGTCTTTGACTTTAGCCTCCAGAGCCACCTTATCGYTGATCTGACCATCTGATTTAGACTTGCTCATCCGGCCCTCCGACTCCGCCAGGATCTGAGTCCGGGAGCGCTTTCCTGAGGCCACATCTCCTGCTCCGATTCCTGATCCCAGCTGCTTTTTAGCAGCTGCAGTCCTCGATGTCCGAAGGCGGTCTCGAGACGAGTTTGGTTCTTTGGAGGATGTTGATGTTGTACGCTTGGACAGAGAACCTATTTAGAAAAACAGTAAATTTATCATTTAAACTACTAAAGCTAAAAACCTCATTATTAGCCAGCCACAAAATAACTCCTGAACTACTGGATAGACTTTAACTCTCAGAGTAACAACTGGAAGTGCATCTACAACTTATTAACCTATAGCAGTGATTCCCAAAAATTTCACAGGTGTTTAAAACAATAAATAAAAATAGGACTGGAATATGTAGTCTTATGATTTCCACAATGTRSAAAATAGAAACGGAATCACGAAATTGACACAAAATGGAATCCAGTATAAAACACGGAATCTCACAGAATTTGCTCATTTGGGGTATTTGATGTATTTTGGACGCTGCTGTTTTCTGCACTTGCCATTACCTGGTTTAATTATTTAATTACTTATTCACTTTCAAGGCCAAGTTTTTATCTTTGTTTAATTTGTGTTAAAAAGAATAGAATGCTTGAGATTTAAAGGTTTTAGAGGGTTAAATAAATATTTTTCATTTAATAATCAGCTATTGTACATTATAGTTTTGGAGGAGAACCATTACGTTTGACTGAAGGGGTACTAGTGGTATGACAAAAAGGCTCAGGGGGTACACAAGTCTAAAAAGGTTGGGAACCACTGACCWATAGAGTCAACCCRGTCCAAGATGGCCACCACTCTCTACTGACCTTAGAAAACACAAAATTACTAACACTCAGTTTTATAGAAACTGAGTTAAAATATGCTGTTGCAGCTGGCACAGCAAATAGTCTGACCATGACATCTTGTGCTTAATGATATTATCAAGGTTTGACAAAAAACAGTGTTTTAGATTTAGAACATCTTTTGTTGAGAAATGACAGCGTTGTAGTTGTCATTTCTCAACAAAAGATGTTCTAAATCTAAAAATCTGAAACGAAAGGCTGAATGGAAAAACTCATTCCTTCCAGAAGTGCTGGATGTCTAGGGATGTCAGATACCTGATGCTGTCTTTGGCTTGTTTTCTGTGTTTCCAGCACTCCCCGCAGAAGCAGTCTTCTTGGTCTTAGTGACAGTAATACTTGATGCAGGGTTCCCTCCAGCCATAGCTGCTAAAAGATCGTCATTGCTTTTCACCTGAAAGAGAAAAATCAACGTGAGCACACACAAACCTGTAGTTTAAACTACATTCAGACAGATCAGTTGATGTATCGAGCATTGTGCGGCGAGTTCCACCTTGGACAGAGGAGCAGCGGTGATGTTTTTAGCTGAAGCCTTTCCGGTGCCAGCAGCCTCCGACTTCCCCCGATCTCCGCCGACCTTATTCGCCGCCGGCCGAACAGACTTCTTCATTCTGAGCTCTCTGATGCAGACACATTTACAGCTCGGTCTGTGGACAAAGGAAGGTAGGAGGAGGAAAGACATGCACATCAGTGTAGAAAGTGATAGCTCCAGTTTTCCATGAGAGGGGGAATTCTTTCCTTTTTTCCATGGGACTAATATTTCACTCTGTACTGAGACCACATAAACCAGCTACACACATTAAAAAAAAAACCTTCCTCGGCTATTCAAAAGTCTGGGAGGTACAGAAGGTGCTACATGTCCCCAAATTTTAATGAAACTCTCAGGTACTAACTGAAGTGTGGATGTTGATGAGATGACACGGGTTGGATGGGGCCAGACCTTTTAAAGCTTTAAAAGTATGCAATGAAATCTTAAAATTTATCCTAAAATGAACAGGAAAACAATGAAGAGAAGCTAGAACTGGGGATATGTGTTCATGTTTTTTAGTTCCTGTTAAAAGACGAGCTGCTGCGTTTTAGACAACTTGTAATTGATGCAGAGAAGATTTAACTAAACCAAGATACAAAGAATTACAATAATCCAAATGAGATGTAATGATAGTATGAATCACTTTCTCAAGGTCTTTTTCTGTGAGGTATGGCTTCACCTTAGCAATAAGTCTTAGCTGGAAAAAACTCAATTTCACCACTGAGTTTATCTGCCTGTCCAATTTGAACACATTATCAAAAATGAAACCCAAAGTTCTGACAGCAGAGCAGCTGAATGAAGCCAAAGGACCAAGATTGTCAGGAGAAMTGTCTTTACCAAAGCTGATGACTTCTGTCTTACTTTCATTTAGATTCAGGAAATTAAATTTCAGACAGATTTTTATGTAATTCAAACAGCTCAGGAGTGATTTGAATGAATTAATCAAATCTGGCTTGATAGGCAGGTAAACCTGAATGTCATCAGCAAAACAGTGAAAAGGAATCCTGTGTTTATTAAAAATGGACCCCAGAGGCAGCATATAAAGTTTAAAAAAGCAGAGGGCCTAGAATAGAGCCTTGTGGGACYYCATAAAAAAGTAATCATTAGTTGTACATTAAGAAGGGATTAACTTATGGAATCACTTCATTTTAAGATGTTTACCACAGCTAATCAACATTAGCCATCCCAAAAATGGCTTTAACTCAGCTAATTTAACAAACATTGAGCTAAAATTTGATGTGGTAGAAGGTAAGAGTGATTCATCACACACACTCTGAGAGTTACAGATTTGATCAAAATAAGACAAATTATTTTAGTTTAAAACTTGGACAATAAAGGCAGCAGGTGATATGTATTCCTTTAATGACTGCTGAGTCTTTAATTTTGTTTTCCTGCCTCAATTGCAGCAAAGTCAGAGAATAAATGATTTCAGGATAAATGCTGAACGAAAGAGAGTCCAGCGATGAACCAAAACCCCCACCAGATGGCTCTCATGTGTTTGTGACATTTATCATCTKCAAGCTGATTGGTCTTAGTGATCAACATCCTGTTGTTTCGGTTCGTCTTTGAGTTTTGCAATTTAATATTTACACTAAAAATATAAAGCAGGAAAAAAAGTCTCTAGGATTTTTTTCTGCAGTGATTCAGCCACAGACCCAAATAAGGAAAAATAAATTCCTTCACAAATCAAACTGAACAGTAGAAGTATAAAAAGGCTTTTCAGCTCATTCTGCCAAGACAAGAGTTTAATACAATGCTTGTGCAAATCACTCAAAATAATCGTAGTTTAGTTTAAAATCCAGAAAATCCCAAAAAAATTCTAAAAACAGATTAAACTGAGCAGATTCTTAAGCGAGCCATTTTGCTGGGCTGTCTATTTAAATAGAAACAGATTATTCTCTCATAGAACCTGGACAATGGAATTTCAATTTCCACATTAAACTCATTTATTTTCTCATTTGGTAACAAACAAGGTGTTGATTTTGGCTTGAGGTATATAAAAAAAAAGGTTTGTGTAAAACAGCAAATAAGCCATAACACGATAACAAGATAAATCGATTTGAGGCACAGCCAGACACAAAGTATTTCAACACGAACTTGGATGAGCGAGAGTTTTCTTAAGATGAAAAGCTCAAGCTCAAAAGATTTATTGGACACAGGAAACCTGAGTGYAATCTTATTCTGAGGAAATGGTCAGTTGTTTCCCCTCAGTAAAAAAAAAACAAAAAACAAAAAAACAGCTGTTTGGATATGTACATAAATATATTCAAATATAATTAAACACAAGCAGTGAACACGGCTTTAAACGGAAAACTCAGAGGGTGAGCAACATACTTCAACAGGACCACAAAGGCTTAGATAATCCTGAGTGTAAATCTGTTTTGAACTTTCAAAAGATTAAAGCACAAAATGAAAATAAATACACATTTTTTTTCTGGAACATTATTTCCATTAAAGATTTCCAAAGAAATTCTTAAGTAACATGGAATCAGTTTAGACTTTTACAGCTGGTAAGGATGCTATTAAAAAACCTTTTAAACATCACAAACATTATGTCAAACTGCAAAAGTGAACATTTTAAAAGGCTGCACAAATAAARAAGTAATTCCCACATGTTTTTAAAAAGAAATTATCAACTTCTGCAACTGTAGATCTGGTCATGGTATGAGTTGCAAGTGAGTTGTTTACTGAAATAATACAACATTCCATCCATCCATCCATCCATCCATCCATCCATCCATCCATCCTCTATAGCCGCTTCTTCCTTTCAGGGGCACTGGTGCTCATATCCAGCAGTCACAGTGTGAGGGGCGGGGTACACCCTGGACAGGTCCATCAAAGGGCCACACATAGAGACAAACAACCATTCACTCTCTCACTCACACCTAGGGACAATTTAGACTTACCACTTARCCTAACAGTCATGTTTTTGGTCTGTGGGAGGAACCCAGAGTACCCAGAGAAAACCCACGCATGCACAGAGAGAACATGTAAACTCTACGCAGAAAGGTCTGCGGGCCAGGATTTGATCCGGTGACCTTCTTGCTGAGAGGCATCAGCTCTCCCAACCGAGCCACCAATATTATATTATATTACAATATAATTTCCAGTCCAACTTTATTTGTAAAGCACTTTTTGTACCATAGCAGACCAAAGTGCTGTACAGAATCAACATTCCAACACAACTCATACAAAAACAAACTCAATCAAAATTAAGATAAGAATAAAAAAAACACAGAAAAAATAAAAGCAGGAAATAAAAAACAAAGTTAAAAACAAGGAATAAAAAACAATCAAATGCCTAAAACCTAATTTAAAATCTACAATAAAAAATTCTACAAATTATATCTAGTATAAATGAACAACACAACCCCTCACACCGTGTCAAAAGACAAAGTAAACAATTGAGTTTTAATACAAGTTTTAAAAACAGCCAGTGAAGAAGACTGTCTAAGTTGGAGAGGTAGCTCTTTCTAAAGTTTAGGAGCTGCTGCAGCACAAGATCGATCCCGCTTGAGTTTAAGTCTGGCTTTAGGGACCCAGCTGATCAGCTGATCTGAGGGATGGGGGGTGGGGGGGGAGGGATTGTACAGCAGAAGATCAGACAAGTATGGTGGGGCAAGGCCATTCAAAGATTTAAAAACAAATAAACATATTTTTAAATGGGTCCTAAAAGGCACAGGCAGCCAGAGAAGTGAAGCTAAAATGGGATAAATGTGCTCATACGTATTTACGTGTGTCAGTTAAAAGCCTCTCTGCAGCATGTTGGACCCTCTGCAGTTGGGCAATGGAGGACCCACTAAGCCCCAGATAATATCCATTACAGTAATCCAGCYGGGTGGTGACAAAAGGCATGAATCACTGTCTCAAAATGTCTTTTTGAAATGATGGGTTTTATTTTGGCTAGCTGCCTCAAATGATAAAAACTCCTTCTAACAACTGACCTAATGTGGCTGTCTAATTTAAGTTCACKATCTATTTCATCTCCCAAATTCCTCACTAACAATTTGTTGCATTGAGTCAAGGAACMTAGATCTACAGGGGAGAGTGGCCAGTTGGGTATTTTTGCCGTAATTGTACTCATTGCAATGTCAAAAATGTAAAGTAAAACATTCACAGAGTAAGAAATAAAGTCAGCACATTATTGTTTTCATAATAGTTAACATGTCCTTAAAAATATCAATTGTTCATTCAGTTTATTTGATCTATAAAAGTTAAAATTCACAACAAAAGTTACCTCATAGCAAACAGGGCCAAATGACAACCAAATGTTTTCAGTCCAATTTAATCAACTTCATTTTGATACAGTTGAACTCAGTTCATAATCATACAGTAAAATCTGCATAAAAGCTCAGATGTGAAGTTTTTCTTTCTACAAAAGTTAAAGCATCGATTGCACTGAGCTCATACTTCGTCCTGACCTGTAACAGCAGGTGACAGTGTGGAGATGTGAGTGTTTTAGCTGCTCGTTTTCAACCGCCCACAACTGGGACCTGAGTTTGCTGACRGCAAACTGACAGCTAAACAGCAACAGTGTGAAATGAACAAGAAGCACATGAGACACAAAAAAGAGAAGTTTAGAAATGATTGAGAGTTTAAACAGAAAAACAAAAGCTCTACTGAAGTGATGGTGAAAAGTATTTTTGRGAAAAAGCCTGAGAAATACTGTATTTCCAACCACACTGAGGAGCTTGTGGGAGGTTACGTTAAAGTCCTGTGTTGTTCTTACAGATTGGAAAAACAAATAGTAACTACAATTGTGTTATTTTGTTCTCTTTCATCTTCTTCTTTTTTTGTCAGCTGTTTAAACTAATTCTTAGTATACAYGTTTTCTGTTTGGTGTCATGTCTACTGCTATCATTGTCCAAAATGCAAAAAATAGAACTCACTTGCACAATTATTATTATTACATTTAAAAGCATCAAGCCAATCCTACTACTAAACACTACAAATTTAAAGACCTAGCATTATTTAAAGAAATGTGCGTCACACTCACTGCCTTTCATGAATGAGAAAAATTATAGCAGTTTTTGTCAAATCCTATAAATGATTTCATGCACAACATCCTGCAATACTGCAAGATCTTCCAAAATGWGTCATGACTGCTGGTTACTGCCA